CCTCTCTCACCATCACTCGATTGCGGTTAAAGATCCAACAATGACCCTAGGCCTTTGCTGGGTGTCATCTCAGAAGTAGACACTATTTTCCACTTGTGCTGCTTCAACAGAGCTGTTGGCCATGGGTTGGAAGGCAAGTCTTGGTGGGCAGGGCATCAACCACCTGGGCAACTGGTTCCTGGGGAAGGCCTGTCATTGCAATGATAATGCAGCACTCCCTCAGTCTACAACTGAAGCATCAGTGTGGATTAGACCATAAAACCAGAAAATACAGGAGCAGATTTAAGGCATTCAGCCTCTACATCTGCTCTGAAATTCAGTGAGATCATGGCTGATCTGATAATCTTCAACTCCACTTTTATGGCTTTTCTCCATAACCCTTGATTTCCTTACTGATTAAAAAAATCTGTCTATCTTACCCCTGAATATACTCAAAGACAGACTAATGCAGGAAGGAATTCCTTCTTATCTCTGTCTCAAATGGGAGACTACTTATTGAGATTATGCCTTCTGGTCCTAGACTTTCCCTTATAGGGAAATAACCTTTCCAGATCCAATCTGTGAAGTCCCCAGAAATCTTGAGCAAAAGCAGAAATTGCTGCAAAATCTCAGCAGCATCTGTGGAGACAAATCAGACTTAACTTTTCACATCCAGTGACCCTTCTTCAGAACTGATTTCTCTCTTCACAGATGCTGCCAGACCTACTGAGATCTTCCAGCATTTTGTTTTCGTTTCAGATATCCAGCATCCATAGTTCATTTGCTTTTCTGTCCCCCAGTAATCTTGCATGCTTCAATGAGGTTGCCACCCATTCTTCTCAATTCCAGTGAATACAAGCCCAATCTACTTAATGTCTCTTCACAAATATAGTGCCCTTCCATACCTGGGATCAGCCTCGTGAAACTTTTATGGACTACCTCCAAGGCTGGTAAATCTTTTCTTAGATAAAGGGCTCAAAAGTATTCACAACGTTCCAGCTGTGGTCTGGCTAGTGCCTTATATTGTTTTAGAAATATTTCCTACTTTTATATTTCATCACCTTTAAAATAAAGGCAAACATTCCATTTGAGTTGCCTATTACCTGCTGAACTTAGATGTAAACCTTTTGTGATTCATGCACGAGGACTCTCAAAATCTCTGTTCTGTAGCTTGTTGTAGTTTTTTTTTCCATTTAAATAATGTTCAGCTCCTCTCTTCTTCTTGCCAAAAGTGCATAACCTCACATTTTCCCTGCCAAGTATTTGCATTCTTGCTTGACTTGTCAACATCCCTCTGCAGACCATCAATGTCACCAGAGATAGTAGGAACTGCAGATGCCTCTTTGTAGGTTACGTGGAACAATCCCTCTTCCGTACCTACACCGGCCCGAAACCCCACCTCTTCCTCCGTTACATTGATGACTGTATCGGCGCCGCCTCGTGCTCCCACGAGGAGCTCGAACAGTTCATACACTTCACTAACACCTTCCACCCCAACCTTAAGTTTACCTGGACCATCTCTAACACCTCTCTCCCCTTCCTGGACCTCTCTGTCTCCATATCGGGCAACCACCTCGAAACCGATATTCATTTCAAGCCCACCGACTCCCACAGCTACCTAGAATACTCCTCCTCCCACCCACCTTCCTGCAAAAATGCTATCCCCTATTCCCAATTCCTTCGCCTCCGCCGCATCTGCTCCCAGGATGAGGCATTCCACTCCCGTACATCTCAGTTGTCCTCATTTTTCAAGGACCGTAACTTCCCCTCCTCGGTGGTCGAGAACGCCCTCAACCGTGTCTCCCACATCTCCCGCACCTCATCCCTCACACCCCGTCCACGCAATAAAAACCAAAAAAGAATCCCCCTCGTCCTCACGTACCACCCCACCAACCTCCGGATCCAACGCATCATCCTCCGACACTTCCGCCATCTGCAATCCGACCCCCCACCAAAGACATCTTTCCCTCCCCACCTTTATCTGCTTTCCGGAGGGACAACTCTCTCCGTGACTCCCTTGTCCGCTCCACACTCCCCTCCAGCTCCACCACACCCGGCACTTTTCCCTGCAACCGCAGGAAGTGCTACACCTGCCCCCACACCTCCTCCCTCACCCCCATCCCAGGCCCCAAGAAGACTTTCCACATCAAGCAGATGTTCACCTGCACATCTGCCAATGTGGTATACTGCATCCGCTGTACCCGGTGTGGCTTCCTCTACATCGGGGAAACCAAGCGGAGACTCGGGGACCGCTTTGCAGAACACTTACGCTCGGTTCGCAACAAACAACTGCACCTCCCAGTCGCGAACCATTTCAACTCCCCCTCCCATTCCTCAGACGACATGTCCATCCTGGGCCTCCTGCAGTGCCACAACGATGCCACCCGAAGGTTGCAGGAACAGCAACTCATATTCCGCTTGGGAACCCTGCAGC